AAAGTTACAGGAATAAGCAGAGTCAGGTGGGGGACCATGGGGCCATGCAGCATCAGAGCAACTTTCAGGTCCTAAGTCCCGGCTCACTGTTTTCCCCATACATGGCACTGCACTGTGTCTGAATGTCACAGTTCAGAAGGTTTTTTCCAAGAAGTAAGATATCAAAACAGTGCAGGGATTCAAGCCTTGTCTGCTGGTCTCCCCACAGTGTCCCTTGTCTTCCCGCCTCCTACTCAATCCATCCAGACTTGGCCACAAGCCACGGAGCAGAGCCAGGAAGCTGGCTTCAAACTGGAGAGGCGAGGCTGGGAGCCAAAGAAGTATATTATCCCGGGCTCTGCAGAGGCCCTCATGGTGGGAAAGCACCGGGAAAAGAACACTTGTCAGCGGAAGCCACATCAGGACACAAGGTTGTGACATTAAGCAGTCAGGAGCTCATCGTATTAGAATAGGTAGGGGTGCCCATCTAGGAACTAATGTCCTTATAAAAACCAGAAAGGAGAGGCACATGGAAAAGGGAACTGCCAGAAGACAGAGGCAGTGAATGGATCAGGTCTGTGAGCCAAGGAACACCAAGGATTTCTGGGAGCCAACAGAAGCTAGAAAAGGGCAAGAAGTATAATTTCTGAGCCTTTGGGAAGAGCATGGCCTTGCTGAAGTTTTGATTTCAGGCTTCCAGCCTCCAGAACTGTGAGAAGCACATCTCTGTTATTGCAAATGGCTCCGGTTGTAGTAATCGACTGTGGCAGCCCCAGAAAACTAAGACAGAATGCATTTCCCCCTCACGTAGGCCACTGTGAATGAAGGAGACAGTTGTATAATAGAAATTACTGTTTGTTCCATGCTGTAATAAGTGCATGTCCAAGGCATTACAGAGCTCTCAGAATACTGCTGAAAGTGTATCGTGGCTGGCTAAGTTTAATTTATTTTCGTCCTTGTGGTTCTTCAGGAATCTATTTCTTCAAGCAAATTTTATTTTAGATGTTAGAGGACGGGAAGAGCAGGTTTCTCTATAATGGAAGCCAAATGACAATGTCTCTTGATTTGACCAAATTCAGTCTTCCTGAATTTCTGCACACAGCTAAACTGCCCATGTCTTGTGTGTTTGATAATATCATCTCCTTCCCCAGCACCGCACTGACTCAGACAGTTCATGTGCCAGAATACCTCTGTCTCAACTTTGCTTATGTCCCTAAAACTCCCTCCTGTCCCCTCTCTAAAAAGCCTCATTTCCTCTTCCCTTAAGGCCCATATGAAATCTACCTCCCGGAAAAGACCTTTAACTAGGTAGCTTCATTTGAAATTAATTTACCATCACCCTCATATTTTAGTACCTTTAGCGTTAGCATTGTATACATTCTTACATATTATATATGATAATTTCTTTCATTGGGACTGATTTTTTGCTTATTAGTTGTCTAGGTTGCCATAATAAATCACATCAAACTTGGTACTTTAAAAAAAGAAGCCAATTTACTCTCCTACAGTTTCAGAAGGCCAAAGTCTGAAATCAAGATGGCCACAGAGCAGCACTCCTTGGAAGGTCCTAGAGGAGAATCCTTCCTGGCCTCTTCTAGCTCCTGGTGATCCCTGGTGTTTGTAGGGTTGTGGCTGCACTGCTCCCATCTATGCCTGTTTCCACATGCCTCCTCCTCTGTGTTTCTCTCTGTATGTGTCTCCTACAGACACATGTCCATGGATTTTAGGGTCCACCTGAACAATCCAGGCTGACCCCACTTAGGGTACTGTAATTTAATTACTTCCAAAAAGACAGCTTTCTGAGTACTGTCATAGTCACAGGTTCTGGTGGTTAAAACATGAAAAATTCTGTTCATTATACATCTACCTGTACCTGTAAATGTTTGTGCATTATTACTCTGTAATTAATTGTTTCATTAATTGAAATCAAATAAAATATTTGGGCATAGGTTTGAGAATCTGCAAATTACCACAAATCCCATCCTGTGTACAATGACATTTCTTTTCTTTTCTTTTTTTTTTTTTTTTGGTACCGATCAAACTTTGGACCTTGCACTTGTGAGGCAGGTGGTGGAACCACTGAGCTAATCCCCAGCCCAATGATGACATCCTGATGACTAATTTTACTATACATTCTAAAGACAGTTGGCACTGTAAGAATATCAAGGATTGGTGAAGTCTCACATGCTGTCATGACATTTATAAAACATAATTTAACCCAAGAAATCCAATTCCCCAAGATGAATGTGATTATTATGCACTGCAAACATATACTGATAAAAATTACAAATTAGAAAACATAACAAATAATCATGGTAATGGAAAGCTTCATAAGTGAAACACAGGCAATGATAAACTACTTAAAACGTCAGTTCTATTAATTAGTTGCATAATCTTCAAAACTTCTATTGCGCTTTCTATTTTAATCCAGAGAGAAAAGAAGGAAGGAAGGGGTAAGTGAGGAATCAACCTCCCCCTTCCCAATTTGGGAAGGCACAATCTGAATGTTGCCTCTCCTCCAAAGGTGTATGTTCTCGGAGGTGACGCAACTGGGTGGAGAAGGGTTGAGAGGAGAGGAGGGACCTCGTGGGAGGTCACTGAGGCGGGACTCTGGAGGCAACTGTGGGACACCAGGCTCTTCCTCTTCTCTCCTTTGCTCTTTGGGACTGGAGGTAAACACTTTTGCTCTGCCACACAATCGTACTATTGTGTACACAGGCCCACAGCAGTGGAGCCAGACAATCATGAACTGGACCCTTCAAAACCAACTCAAGATGAATGTTTTCTCTTGATTAAATGGATTATCACACATTTCCTTAGAGTGACACAAAGTTGATTAACACAAATGCTAACTACTTTTAATTTTGCACTATTGCAATGATCAATAAATATTCACCTGTGGAGATAACCCAAGTGTGAAACTTGTGAGGACTAAATGCAACAGACCCTTAAATTACAAACTTGATCAGTTCCTGAGATCTGTTTGCAACTCAAGTTGGTTGTAAGTCAATACCGCTAAGATCTGGATGTTTACCTGGGTACACACTATAGATAACAAGAGGCAGATGACTCTTCCATTAACCTAATTAACTCAAGTTGTTCGTATGTCAGGCCAGTCATAATTTGAGGGTCCGTTGTAGTAGCTCTTGTGCTGGGAGAAAATGAGTTTTAGAAAATTAGGTCACCAGCAGAAGCTATTTTTGTGTGTTCCTCTTTTCTGCTCAAGTACTCAACTTCACGATGACAGGCTAGCCCAATTAGTCAGATAAATGGAGTCACTCCAATATTGAATATTGTCGTTATAAAGCAGTTCTGTTTATCATGAAAATTAAGAAGTGTCACTGCTTTACAGATGCCACCCAGATCCACATGCTCCTCCAGGCAAAGCTGGAAGTTGCAAAGTCAGAGCAGACAACAGGCCAAAATACGTACCAAATGCAGAATTGTGATGTGGCTTAAAAGAATTTGATTAAAAATGTCCCAAACTACTCTGCCCAAGAATTATCACTGGGACAGTAAGCTCTCTGATATGGTAATACAACCAGCTGCTAGTTCATCTCCATTCCCAACGTGGTAATCCACATTGCTTTTCATCTTCTTCCATCCATCATGTGACTTAATATTAGGAGGGTTCAACCGGCCATGTATGGGGCTCATTTCTTTCCTTCGATTGGGAGTGGAAGAGCAGTGACTGACTCATCAGAAGCACAGACAGGATGAAGGCACCACTCTTCCACAGCTTCTCTTCATCTGTGTATGAAGCACTTTCAAGACAGTGTCTGAATTATAACCAATTGGATGAAAAGATAAGGCAGTTGGTGTTGGAAACCCATCCCATACCCTGAGACGCCCACAGTGGAATATATGTGTGTGGGGGTGTGCACATGTAATGTGCACCATGGTGGGATTTTTCCAGTGCCCCTGAAACCCACGAGAGAACACCTCCTCTGAAGACCTGCTGCAGGAGGTGGCTCATAGTTTCCCTGTCTCATCCCATGTTGTTTTCACAGCTGTCTGGGCAGAGCAATGCAGAGCACCAAAACGCCTGGAAACATGTGCTGGTGGGCAGTGGTGAAGGCAAATAAGTGGTTCTTTTTTACCCTATAATCATAAGCTGTTTTTCTGAAATGCTGATCATTGCATGGAATCTTATGCTAGGGAGACAGAGGGTTGGCTCCTCATGCCCAAGACTCTAATACACTTGACTTACAGAAAGAAGTACATCTACCCTCAGACAAATGGGGGAACAAAAAGAGTATTTAAAAATAATAGCAATGATAAACACACATCCTATGAAATGCATTGTTATGCAATTTTCTAACTATGCAAACATTATAGAATGTATTTATACAAGCCAAGATGGATATGACCTAACTAGACTTATAATATTATGGTACCACCATTATATACAGTCTTTCATTGACTTAAATGTTGTTATGCAGTGCAAGACTAAAAACACACACACATACACACACACACACAAAATATGTATATTCTTACAGACTGTCTTAATTACATACATATAAATGAAGGCCCCGCAAGGGTACTTCTTTATAAGTTCAGTATTCTTGAACAACTTCACTGATAGAACAGGCTCAAAATTTATTTAAAAATGCCTCAGATATACCATCATATATGTATAATAACAAAAGTTCCAGCCTGACAAGGGCCAGAGATATCTACTTTTCCTCTCTAATGTTGATTCTGAGAGTCAGAGGAGCTCTCTGACTTGCCTCTGTTGCCAGCGAGGTAGTGATAAGGCCATGATTCCCATCCTCTGCTCACCCTCTTGTGTCCACCCACCATCACCAGCTGGTGGTTTTGAGGAAACCTTTACCAAAGCAGAGACAATGACTCTGAGGGAGGCTGGAGAGTGTGACCACCCTGTAACAATGCAGACCAAAAAGGGAATTCTCATTGCCAAATGACCAAGGTAATTTGGGTAACTGTGCTAGAAATGAATGCTCACCTGCTGATAGGACACTCAGAATTAATTCACCACGCTTTGCATCTCTGCTTACCTGGGCCATTGCAAAGAGTTCAAATTTCCTGTGAATTCTGTAATCACCATTGCAGGAGACCAGCTTGAAACCACGCTGGGCAGGCTATAAAATGTTATTGAACTGGCTTATAAGTCAGCTGTTAATTCAATTGTGAGCCAGCCCAAGGCCAAGTGTGACCTGCCTGATGAGACTTTGACTGGTGTATGGAAACAGAACTCCCTGTGCTAACAGTCACAATTGAGGTCTCAAGGATGGATGATATTGTGACATCTCTAATGGCAAGATGACACTATAACTGAGGACATATGACTCTTGAGCAGCTGCTCTCATGGGTCAAATGTTAGCTAAAGTTAACAAAGATGGCTTGTTAACTAGGACCTGCCCTTCACATGAATGCAATCATTCCTGCCCCTTTTACAAGCTCTGCTTATTAGTGCCTTTGTCCACTGTTCGTTCCCCTTTCCATATTCATACCTCCTGTTTCATGAACCAAACTTACCTCTTCCTTTCCCTGCTAAGCCTTCTTATTATGCTGCCTGGTACCCTCAACAAACAAGGGCACATCCTTACCTCCTCAACTGTTTCTCTGAATGTCCCTTCACTCTATGCTTTAACTGAGACCTATCCTCTTAGTGTACTCCTTGCTCTGCAGCCTACTCTGCTGCATAATGTTTTTCCATTATCTTCTGAACCTCAGCATCCGGAGTTGGTGTAGATACCCCGCTTGGTCTCTTTGATCTTTCTGACCCTTATACTCCTTGTTATCTCAGTGCTCTGGGCCTTTGAGATGCTAACAAACCAGTTAAACCACAATCTTCCCTCCGTAATGTCTTGCTGGTCATGTCATTCGTGGATGACCTACCAAAATCACTTTTGGATATTACAGCGCCCAGTGTCTGACCTGTTAGTGTTTCACCTTCACCTCCAGTGGCCTTTCCTTCTCTTCTTCCTCAGCTTTCTACTCGCCATGTGACACCCAGGAACCCATCTCTACTATGTCCACCCCTTCCAGTTCACTTGTTGAAATCATGATGATTCCATGATTCCAATTCCTCATCTTTCCTCACACTGCTAAGTACTAACCACACCACTTCCTCACTAGGCATCAACCACCTTCTATTTTCATTTCCTTTTCACTCAGTCTGAATTCTGTGTTGACCACCACAGTCAGTCTCATGCAAAAACCTTCAAATTTGTTGCTTCTCTCCATTTCTGAGGCTCTACCTGTCAAAACCTCAAATCTCACTGCTCCAACTTTCCAGCCTTTCTCTGCCTGCACACTGGATGATTCATGCTGCAGAAGAAAACCATACAGCTGTGTGGTTTGACTTTAAATTTATTAATCCAAGTGTCAAATAAAGTCTCAGTGTTGCCTGGCAGCCCCACCATATTTCCTTCCTACATTCATGCTTTAATTTTATGCAACCTTTCTCCTGACACATCTCTATCCCCTCATTACCTCTTTAAGCCCAAATGTGCTCTTCGAATGGAGAAAACATTCCCTAAGCTTTTACAAGGAAATGCTTTGACTTACACTGAGAATTTTATCCGTACCTTTCCAAGAACTCCTCCTTTGTGTTTTCCTTCTTTATCCTACATCATAAATATCTGCATTTCAAATCACCAGTCCCATCCTCAGGAAACCACCTCCTGTCTTTCCACTTACAGGAAAGAGCTTCCCTCAACTTCTCAGCTGTTTTCATTGTCTGCCTCATTTCTGTGGTCTCCATGACAGCCATGCGTGCTTCTTGAGACACGTCTACAGCACAAGGCTCTGTTTGCCAGCTTTTCATTTATTTTTAAAATTTTTAAAATCAAAGCTACACATTTCTGTTTCTAAAGACCCAATGCTTTCTCCTCAGAGACAGTCAGTTGGAAACTGTTTTTACCAAGTCTCCTGTGGTTTACCTCAGGAGATCTACCAGTGCTCACAAAGCATCTCTCTGTTTCTCAACATTACATACACACAGCCTAAATCTCTCCTTTGCCCATCTTCTCAATGTGCATATATTATGTTTTTTTGGATTAAGCCAATAGACAATGACATATAAATTCTATTAATGAATGAGATTGCTGTTTATTATGACCACATCTTATGCTTTGAACAACTTTTAAATTTTTCTATAGTTATTAATTGCTTCAATTTTCTGATTATTTTCCTATGTATCAAGCATTCATTTTTTATGAGAGCTGCAGAATGTCTCTTAATATATTCAAGTATAACAGGTAAAGGATCATCTTCATTGCTGCTGAGCAAAGCCTTTCTGGACCCCTATGTCTTCTTACTTGAACTGGACCATGACACCAGAGAGAGACACAGTAAAAGAGGGTCTTGGGAATTGTCATACAAGTGCATATGCAGCTCGTCTCAGAGAGAGGTCCTGGCCAAGAAGTGTAAAACAGACTTCATGAGAAACATAAGCAACAGTCAGGAGAAGAAACACAGCATAGTTTTAGAATAAATAGAACCATAGTGCTGCTCTTCCTTACAGCAAAAAAGAACTTCCACACAGGAAAAAACGAACAGAATTTTTCTGACTTTCTTGTGTGGCGTGGCAGAGGCAAAGCCAAATATGTGACTGAATGATTACTCTGAATTATTGCTTTGTATAATAAATCCCAGGCCATTCATTTCTACACTAAATTCTTCAGAATATTAAAACCAGATTAACTTATTTTAATTAAAGGACAAAATGCTGTGGGAAAAAAATCTAAGTAGAAAAATCATTTTAATTTTTTATAGAATAATTCCACCCACAATTCCTAGAATCCTTATGTACTTGCTCGGATAAAGACATAGGGCTCACTGACTTTATGTTTATATGACTGTGAACTGAATAATATGACTGTGTTAAGCCTCAAAAACCCATTCCTAATTCATAACAACCTTACACCCATTCCTAATTCATAACAATCTTTCAAATGGTTTAGTAAGCAAACAAATTTACATTTTCCCCCAGAAAACAAAATTAGTAATCTTTGGGCTTTCCAATTCAAACTAGGTTGATTCTAAAATAGTGGAATCTAAATAACTTGCAATGGTAATGAGTATCTATCTATCTATCATCTTTTTTTTCACCTGATAGCTACCTGAGGTTCATACTATTAACACAGATCGGGCTTCAGAGCAGAGTGTAACCTTGCTGTTTATTTAGTGAAACTCAACATTATCTGCTTTCTTTCTTTTTTTTTTTTTGATTAAAATTCCCTTCCTTTATTTATTTATTTATTTATTTATTCTCATTGAGTTTATTGGTACATTTTAGGTATACAGTACAGTTACATTCATTACTGGGATCTTGTACCTTTATATGACTGGTCTTGGTTCTCGTTTTTTCCCCTTGTCCCTGCCCTCCCTTCACCCTCTCTTTCCCTCCCCATTTACAAACACTTTATTTCCATTTTTTCATTTTGTCATACTTTTTCTTTTCCTTTATTACCTTTCCCCTACCCTTCCCACTTTCCCTACATCTTTAGCCCCTTTCTTCCTATTTCACATTGTCCATTATCTCATTAGGATCTTATGTACTATTATAGTTTTTCACACCAGAGAAACTACTTGGTATTTATACATGTGTGACATTTATTTCATTTAGGAGTATGTCCTCAATATGTATCCATTTTCCTATTAATGAATCTAATTTCTCATTCTTTATGGCTGAGCAGTATTCCATTTTACAGAAAAACTACATGTTCTTTATCCGGTTTCCAACTTTATGCACTATTGCAGTTTTTCACACCAGAGAAATAATTCGGTATTTACATGTGTGTGACTTACTTATTTCACTTAGGAGTATATCCTCAATATGTACCCATTTTCCTATGAATGAATCTAATTTCTCATTATTTATGACTGAGTAGTATTCCGTTTTATAGAAAAACCACATCTTCTTTATCCAGTCTCCAACTGATGGGCAAATGGGCTGTTTCCAAGTTTTAGCTATTACAGACTGTGCTGCTATAAACAGAGGTGTGCATGTATCACTGTGATATGATTCTTTTAATTTTTCTGGAAAGATATCCAGCAGAGGGATGGCTGGGTCACAAGGAAACTCCAGTCCTTTATTTTCAACAGAGATTTCTTCACACAGCAGTAGAAACTGTCAGCTGGTACTGACCTTCTCCTTCTTCCCTTTGTAGAATTGCACTCCCCTGCCCCTTCATGACTCAAAGAGCACTGGCCACTGGGAAATCAGTTAGTTTATTCAATACCCACATGATGTGGCAATTAGTGTTCAAATTTATCTTTGACAAATACAAGTAGGACATCTGGAATGAAGCAGGGGCAATTAGATTTGGGTAGAGAGGGGTGATAAATGGGAAATTCAGAAATCTGTACTAAAAGACAAATGTTTCAACAGTAAGTACTTCTGATTTTAAAATTAAATTGGTCTTGAAATAAGGAAATGTACATTGAGCCTTTCTAAGGGACAAAGAGATTTTTCCCTGTTGATTCTTGGGCAAAAGCTATACATTGAAAGCTAAAGCACTTTTGAGAAAGACCATGCAGCTGTCTATGCTCTAAAATTACTGGATACTCATGAACTTACTGACTGCGTCTAAAAGATGTCAAAGTGCTCTAAAATTACTTTAAGTCATGTAAAGTTTCATCTTAGTGATATGAAGCACTTTTTAAGAAAACATGGTCCATGAGCAGTTTTCTTTAGAACTGAGATGAGTACAGAAAGCAACAGCAATTAGGAGCCATAGCTTTTCAAAGGTACTCCTTTGAGGAGACACAAGAGCAACAGTTGAAAAACCGTGTTTTTGCATCTCTAATGCTGTCTGTCTACTCTGCTAAAGACACGACGATAAGATCCATCATACGTGTATGTCACTGACAGCATTAACAACGGTCAGCAAGTAACGATTTTACTCCCTAGTTTGAAAAAAGCAAATAAACAAAACAATCAACCAAAAGTATCTGCCTCCATGAATTTCAGGTCACATGAGCTTTATAGAAAAGAACTTGCTTTTATTCTGAGAAATTGTAACATGTTGCTTCTAGTGAGATTATCCTTCCATTTAGCCACACTGCAAGGCGTGACCAATTTTTATTCCTGGCTAAAGTTTCTTTGGGTTCCTTTGGCTTGTGGCTGTATGGTTGCTTTAAGTCATTTCAACTGAATAAGAAAGCTGACTGGGACTTATGCGGCTAGGGACATGTTCCATGGAGAGCAATTCTCTCTTCCATTAAAGAGGATTCATGGAGTAAGTGTTGAACACTGGAAGAAATGAGCTGCTTGGTAGGATGAGGGAAATTGGAAAATAAACAGGATGAAGATGAGAAAGAGAGGTCACTCAGCACTCGTAGTGCTGG